CTAAAAGAGAAAACAAGCAGCATTTCAGCCCAATTTCATCAGAACTGACATAGGCAAAGCTGAATAACTCTACTACTGATCACTGTTCCCCAAAATCACTGCTCCAAATCTGAATCTGATACTTATAGATATAACTGATTCTCAAACCACTAACACTGATGCCCGCAGGCCTGATACCCAGACTTGCAGACTGATACGTGCATACCCTGTAGAGATACACACTAAAAGCACATAGCATTCAAATGAGAGCCAAAACACCCCTATGTTGGGATAGGGTTTCTCTGTCCTATTTTGTCAGGAGCTAGGGTTTCACTACGCACGCAGCGATTTCAAACAACCTATATCGGGTAAGCAACCTGTCCTAGTTTGGAATAGTTACTATGGATTCCGAATATGCACTAGGTCGAATGGTCAAAAAGGGTGCCCTGGTAAAAATCGGGGTTTGTGTTCTCGTCGTGGTAGAGCCCGCAACCTGTCAGCCTTATGGCACGCTTCTCGAAGCGGGCCTCCGACAAACTGTTCAGGAATAGCATACGGCAAACACGGTGTCCTAGGCGCACCAATGCACATGCAATGCAAAGAAACACATAAGTGTAATCAAAACAAGATATCATGAGTTCGAGTCAAGTTCTCTAATTCCCCAGCAGAGTCGCCAGAAACTGTAGACGTCCCCGAACGTCCTGGGAAAAATCCCGTTTTGTTCATTTGGGCTTACTACAGTATGGACTCAAATGCGACGGTTCTTAATCTGATCTCATAATGTGCGATGTGAGATTGATAAATCACCAAAGAGTCCAAATCCGGCAAATCATTTTGGAAAACTGATTTTTGAGAAAGAAGTGCCAAACATGGACTGCTTTGCCAGATACAGAGTCACCACCTAAATATTTTATTTTGGGAGAATTTAGGAAACCCTGACTCGTTGCCTAAGGCCACGTGTCCGTCATCACCAAAGTTGCTTCGGCTTGGGAACTTGGGTACGATTGGGGAAGGTCAGCTATGAGCACCCCCGCTCGCCCGATCCGAAGATCGGCCTGTACTAAACACGATATCTTGTTTTTGAAAACATATGCTTTCTTATTCCGATTAATTAGCTAATCTTACTACGTGATGCGCACAGCAAAACAAGTATAGACTAGATTGCCTAATTTGGAATAAAGCATCGCATATCCGTTTGTTTGGAAAACGGTTTTAGATTTGCTACTCGCAAGTAGGCTAAAATGCAGATTTCAATGAATTGTCCCAATTCAAGTAATCCAACCTTCACCCACAGGCATTCAGACAGTTAAACACATAAGCAATTAGTCTCATGGCAAGCATGCTGTCATGTTAACACTCACATACATGCAAGATGCTAAAGCATAAACACTAACAGTGTACTCCGAGCCAAAACAGGAAACTAGTTAGTAATCATGCATGATCCTAGTTCATGTTAAGATGGCTAATGCAATGCATACAAAATTCAACTAGAATAGGCTCGGCTATTCTAAGAATGGCATGTGAAATGCAACAATTGATACACGTATTTAAGTTGGAATTGAAACACGATGCAGTTAGTATGATGCGCCGAGCCTGGTGCATGCAATACAAATGAATGAATGCACACATGCATAGAATAAGGATGCTAAAATGAAATATGTCCTAAAAATAACCATCATAAGCAGGTAAGTAAAAGGGAGAAAGACGTGAGGTTAGAAGACATTCACACACTCACGCACACTTATTACACAATTTTGTCCTCTTGACGGAGGGACTGAAAGAATAATATAAATTAACTAACTAACAAACAAATTAATTAATTACAAAACCAAATCGAAACAAATAACTATCCTAAGTTATTAAAACACTGAAATGGCCTCGAGACGAGGGATGAATGCATGCTCGAACGGCTTCGCTCGGAAATCCATCGCCATGCTTCATGTTGCCTCTGTTTGCACTTCTCTGTACCTCTAAAAACTATGCCAACTTCTGTGACACTTCTAAATCACCTTTTGGGCATTCTGTGAGGCCATCGGCCAGAAGATGAGGCCATCGGCCAAAGTAAACTGGTAATCGACCAAAAGTAGGGCTCTCGGCCAAATATACTTAGCCGATCGGCACTGAATATGGTCGATCGACCATCTCTTCCTGCAGAATTCTGTGTTGGTGCAACAGAGGACAAACAGAGCATGGCAATGCATTTTCAAGGAAATGTTTGCACAACCACCCTCCTTATCATGTTTAAGACTCAAAGGAGTATGGTTCTCGACCCTCGGGCCATTAATCACGCATTTCAATGCATGATGGCCAAAGGTGCCAAATGTGCAATTCAATATCAAATGAAATGCACACAGCACGTAATGGACTCCAACCTCTATCATGATTGATCAAGAGGCAATGGATGCATGCATGCGATCAAAACTAGTGCAACACAAGCATGCCAAATGCAATGCAACCTGGACAACTATGCAAAATACAACACGGGCATTCAAGCATGTAACGCGAACATGTGACAACATGTAAGGACAAGATATGTAAACATGCAAAGCTACTCAACAAAAGCATGCAAAATGCAATGCCACTTAAACGCGCACCAACATGTTATGGACTAGGTATGCAACAAGGCATAATTGAACTAACATGTCAAAACATGCAATTTACCAAATATGCAACAAGCATGCGACAACATGCAAGGCAAGCATGCAACAACATGCGGGGATGGACTTAAACCAAAATGGACAGCTCTCAAATAGGTCCAAATCAGTGGCCAATATGCTAAGGGATAAGGGACAAACTCACATACAAACATGCATGGCAATTGGCCTAACACTCAAGAATCAAAGGGGAACTTTTGGGAACACTTAAAAGGAATGAAAAGCATGCAAATGTAGCAACATTACATGCTCTGAAATGAGGCTAGGAGTGATGCCAAATCAACTAAACCAAACTAGTGTAGCATGCAAGGAGGCCTAAAGCTTAAGGCTAGTGAAGGGACTTGAACCAAAGCTACACAAAGAAAAGGGGTCACGACAAGCATGACCCAAGACAGTCCTAAAGCATGGCAAAGTAAGCCTAAAACATGCAATGACCAAAGCCAAAACAAGCTGAGACAAAGGGGGAAAATCATGAGGCATGCAAGGCCACCAAAGAGGTGTTACACTACACCTAATACAACCAAACATGGTATGATTTAAGCAACCAAGAACAGAGTTATGGCATGTCAAAATGAGCCCAAAAAGCCGCTTAGATGGCACCCCAAAGGCCTAAGCATGGTGGCATACGCAATGACACATTCATGAGACACAAAACACAAACCCTTTAAAGCATTAAAGGAGCGATAAGTGCGAGTATTCAAGCATACTATATGGACTGAAATAACATTACAAGTGATGCCAAACCACTGAAATGATCAAAGTAGAGCATGCTAGAGGATCCAGCACTTAAAGCCTACAAGCTAGATTGCATGGTAGCTATACAAAGCAAGTCGTGGATGACCAAGACAATCAAAATCAGACCTCAAGCATACCAAAACATGGATAAAATCTTCTTGAGGTCGAGCCAAAATCATGCTACAAAGACATGTTACAACATGATGCATGTTAAGGCAGATCAAGGGATTACAAGACAAGTATATGGTGCATGCAAGAGACCACTAAACCAACTTTGGACAGAGGTAAATCATGGCAAAATAACACCAAATACCAGCTAAGACATGGCGAACATGAACTTAACAAAGGTGCTCACATATGAGGCAAATATGACAAGTATTGAAGACAACAAGGAGAGGGGATGACCCTCTCCTTCTTAGGACCTCAAAACACCATCCCCACCACTGAAATCCCTCTGGATTTTAGTGGTGAGAAGGCCAATACAAGGTGGTCCCGGAGCTCACAAAAAGGGCACAAAAATGAGACCAAACAAGGCCTAAGAGGGGGTAAACAACCCCACACACCAAAGTGATCTTCAACAACTATTTTAAGCACTTAAAAACAGAACTTTTATCAGTTATATGTTAAGCTTAAAAACAAATGCAAGATAGGCTAAAAGCTTAAGCAAGAAAGGGGTATCTAACGGTAAGAAGCTCACCCTTGTAGAACCTTTTTAAGAACAAAGCTCCAGCAGGTTTTCTGAGTTTAAACCAACCCAAGAACACTGAAATCAACCTCCTAGCACCTCAACAGTCAAAGATGGTGTTCTAGTGTGTGTTGGTGTACAATAGTAAGACAATATTACACCTTTGGACACAAAACAAGGCTAAACAAGGAAGAATAGATACAATACTATATCTATCCTCTCAAGAACAATTTTTCTGAACCCTTGAGAAGAGAGGAGGAACTCCCTCTTTATAGAGGTTCAATTCTAAAGCTTCTAAGAGAAGCTAAACAAAGGGCCAATCCCTCCATACACGTGTATGGAGGGGGTGAATAATGGGTGCCAGCTGGCCAGCTGTGCCAGCTGGCACAAAATATTTGCATAAAACAGATAAATCGGGTTCGGCCAGGAAAAATGGCCGATCGACCAACACAATGGCCGATCGACCAAATATTGTGCCGATCGGCCAACACTCTTGGCCGATGGCAAGAAAAAGGGGCCGATGGCTTCAGGCCTTGGCCAGTGGGGTGTAGGGATGGCCAATAAGCCACCCTCTTCCCTCAGAAGCAAAACCACAAGTGTTTGGTCCACAACCAAGCACAAAACAGACCAGTTGAGAGATCTTGAGGCAAGGCGCATAGCCGAGACCTCCGAGAACTGAAAACGAACACGAGCATGGACGATCATCAAGTGTTCAAACGATGACGTCCAAGTCTTGAGGACAGTAAAAAATAGGGTGTCTATAGATACCATTGATTCCGCTCCACTTCTCTACAGCAGGGGAGATGACGATGACTCCCTTTGACTTCTCTATGCTCACCGGCATAGCAGTAGGGGGTCATCCGATTCCTTACGACACCGACATGCGTGAGTGAGAGGCTGCTCAGATCTACCTACTGGGGATTCGCCCACCCATCTCCTGATCAGGGATGGTGCAATATACATGGTTTGCTGATCATTTCAGAGGGATGACGCCGACAACCCACGATGAGACCAAGTACTATGCCTGGGGTTTCCTCATGTTTCTGTTTGGTACTACTATGTTCGCTGATTGGGTGAACACCGTAGGGCTCTACCTTATGAGCGCTCTGGTGGACCTGTCTCGCGTCCAATTCTACGACTGGGGCGGCGCAGGTTTGGCCACATTATACGGATACATGAGCTCCACCTCTCGTCGGAGCGGGCATCTGTTAGGGGCTACTGGAGGGCCGGGGAGGTACACCCTACCCTTCTGCTTTACATTTCTACTTTGCATTTCCCATATACTACATACATCGTACACTGCACTACACACAATCTGCTTTTTGCCTTATATTATCTGTACACTACACACACTGTACGCTGCACTACTTTACATTATCTGTACTCATCTGATATATACTCACTGTTATCCTTCCACTTCTGTAGCTATGGGTGTACGCCTATTTTTCGAGGCTTGCCCCAGAGCCAGAGGTAGAGATACCACCCATGGTGCCGTACTCACATAGGTATGACGGGAGATGCCAGCAGAGGCCCCGAGAGTCATTCTCATTTTTTCGTCGATTCTTCGACACTGTGACCGCGGCAGAGATAACTCAAATCTTACAATCATTTCAGCTCTACTTCATATTGCATATACAATGGCAGCTAACAGTCTGTATATTCACTATTTGCAGATCACCTGGAAGCCGTGGGCAGTGATGCCTACCGGGGTTAGAGATCAGTTTGCCAGCGCTCGGGAGGCTTCCCAATTTCAGATCTTGCTCGAGGGCCGGGTTTGTCGAGCATGGTTCTTAGGGGAGTGATTCCTACGACAGAGCCTCGGCTTGCCTGAGCCAGTAGTTCCGATGCCGCCTCTCACATACATGAGGGTCACAGAGAGGTACACCACGCAGGAGATGACCGACTTCACCAGAGGTTTAGATGCCGACTTCTTCAGGCTTGAGGGTGATTACACTGCCTTCATCCAAACATACCTTATGCCACTCTAACTGGGGCCCGTGAAGGTGAGAGAGCCAGAGCTCCAGCGGCAAGGGAGAGAGCGGGAGGATCCAGGGCATCCCCGGTTCATGATAGGATAGGTCCTTAGGGAAGGCAGAGAGCGAGGTGGCCAGAGCTGCCTACCACACTGACTTGCTGAGGATCCAGAGGGGAGACTTATCAGATTCCCATTGAGCTCACACCAGCTAGTCACGAGCTTGTTGGAGTTCGAGGCCGGACCCTGGTATGTACCATACTTTACGTTTTGCACATTCAATTCATTTCAGTTATGCCTTGTAGACCACTTATCATCTCAACACATTTGCAGGCTTCCATAGAGTACACCGGACAGGCTCTCGAGCTGGCGGTTTCTCTGATAGGGATGGTTCAGACGTGCCTGAACCTACTCAGTCTCTACAGGATTCCGTTTAGTTTCCTTCAGTTTGCACTTCATGCCATGAAATTTTCTGCTGATACATTAGCATTTCAACTACAATTTGCTCCATAGTGATCTGAATACATTACATTAACAACACTGCATTGATACACTGCTCCCACACACTGCATTCAACACTATACTTATCTTTGCATACCAATAACTGATGCATTTGGCAAACTGTTCTTTTTAGGTCCCTTTTTAGATGCCAGTTCCACCGGATGCCCCAGTGGGAGCCGTAGCAGGGCCTTCAGTGCCTCTCCCGACAGCAAGGAAAGAGAGACGAGGGACTCCAACGCACAGCCGAGATGGAGTTAGACGTATTCATGATGAGAGCGGTCCACCAGAGCCTATCCCGGATGATGATGAGATAGATGAGGACGAAGAGCTAGCGAGCCCGCAGTCAGAGTCATCTGAGGGTGGAGGCAATGGTACTGGCTCGGATTCTGAGGACTGTGGCGATGCTGAAGATGGCTCCGAGGAGGGGAGCGGAGATGCTGAAGAAGGCTCTGGCTCAGATTCAGATAGTGGCGCCGATGGCGATAGCTCTGAGTCCATGCCCAGGAAGAGAACGAAGAGGGCCTCTCGATCTTGAGATAGGTGGCACTGATTTAGATGTTTTTTGCTTTATTTCTTTTTACTAGTAGTGTTAGCACATTGTACAGCCTTAGGCAGTTTTATTTTCTTTAAAAACTTATAATCTTTGTAAAAAGGAAACCATGATTGGAATGAAAATAGCTTTTTGATTAAAAGGTGTTGCATTTTATATTCTGAGCATCGCATCGCACCATTTTACACAAAAACGAGATTTGATGAAAATTGAATAATGTATTGGCAACTGCTTAATCAGGTAGTGAACCAACCAATACATAACAAACAGAGTAAAACAAATCAATGAACAAATAGTAACTCGATAATCAAAACAAATACAACTCGATAACCAAATCAACAACTCGATGAGCAAACAACAACTTGATAAGCAATTCGACAAAATTTTTAAAGAGAGACGGAAGAAATGCACCAAGAGTGGAACAAAACACAGGTTCTTAGCATTTTCAACACATGGATGGACCAAAGGGCAAAATAGGAGGCCACAGGCCATAAAAAGATGCTACTGGCCATCAAAAGTGGTTGTCGGCCACTAGTGCTAGCCGGTCGGCTACAAAAATGGCCAGTCGGCCACCAACACTGGCCGGTCGGCCACCAATAAAGGAAACCTCCAGATTGCTGCCACCTGTCTTCCACTCAGTGCCTTATCTTCTACAAAAGTTAGGACTTGGTAGCTTCTTCATTCCAGCTCTGTTTTTGCATCAAATGGAGCCATTCCTTGCCGAAAAACTCTCGACTTGGATTGCAACTTTAGATGGCTCAGAAAAGTTGAATTTCTGAGGTTTCGGGATAAATGCACTATTTTTGTTGAGTCGTATTATGCTGTGTTTTCCATTCCTCCATGCTGCGGCTAGATGTTGGAATCCGGTTACACATGTTTTCAGCTTTGGTAGACAAGAGCTATGCCCCACAATCAAAGGGTTCCAAGCTTTGATGGAATCCTGGCATGACGAGAAAATCTTGTCCCAGTCCCGTTTTAGCCACATCTAAGCTTTAGGACGGATGTGTGGGCTTACTTTACACGATTCTCGATCCTTGGTTCACAACGGGGAGTCGGATATTCCCAGCTTGATTCATTGGTTCTTTGATGCCGACGACCGCGGCGATCGTCTTTGGCAAGGTTTTCGGCAACATGCCCTCTACTTGTGCATGTTGGCTCATTTTTTGCTTGCCCCTGGCTTCGGAAGGTCTAGCATTCGCTTGATTGAAGTTGCCCAAGGCTTGAAAGAGGGCAAAAACTGCATTTGCTTGACACTAGCTGAGACTTTAAGGGGTTTGGATGTTTTCCATCGCCGAGAGACAACCAGGTTCGCAGGAAGTCCACTATTCTTGCAGGTAGTGTTTCCCACCCTTCTCACATGTGTTTCTCACATCACTCAGCCCTCAGGCTCTATTTTTCTCTCAAAACCCTTTCTCACTTTTCTCTCCACGTACACCTTTCTATTATTTAATTTCTCTTATTTTTCATCCTTTCCCAGGCATGGCTTATGGATAGGTTGAAAGTAGTGGACTCTTGCCCTGCATATTCAGCCCGCGGCTATTTCTTTTGCTAACGGCTAGTTGATTTCCCAAACGAGGGGTGGTGGTGCCACTGGATGTGTAATAGGTCTGCTGTTAACATCGCTTGGCGTTGCCGCTGGTTTGATCTGCCTGAGATGAGCTACACCATGTCTTGCCAACTTGGCATTCAGTTGATTAGATTAACACACTGTGTCCTCTATTTTCCATTTTGGTTCCGGTGTCAGTTTGGACAAGACCAGACTTGCCCGGAAGAAGGGGTAGAGTACCCAGTTTCTTTTCCAATCTGAGGCACACAGCTAGCTCGATATTCTACTGCATGGAGGACAAGAGAACTTCTGGCCCCCGCTCCCAATTTCAGTTGTGCCCTTTCTAGCGAATGCATAGCTTGGCTTGAAGATGAGGCACAAACTGGGCCTACTTTAGCATCTGAAGCTTTCACAAGCTCTGGGAGGGGACGCAGGAACACCTGACTCAACTATGCCCCAAGTTTATTGCTTTAATCTGTACATTCAAGTTTTTCCTTTTGAATGTAATAAAAAGAAACTTCAATTTGTATCAAGAGTCAGAGAACTCCGTATTGAAATCAATGAAATTGATGGTTATGGGTACTGAAATTTTTTCTTTTAGTCCAAAAACGGTCTAAGTTGTAAAAAGATTAATTTGAACAAAATCAACTTTTAGTAAAACTTTTCAAAACCATTTTCAATGAGGATCACAATTGGACACACCCAGAATCTATCCTTAAGATGCACAACCCCAAATCCAATAACTGGAAAGTTGCCCCTTGTCTAAATAGCACTACACTGCACTGTAACCAGCTCTAATAACAAAGATCACAACCAAACTCTTGGATGCAGAAAAGACAAAGATGGCCAGAACAATCACATGGACACAGTTGATTTGGAAGTGTTTATGGATGGACCTCAGAATGAAGTTGCCTACATATTCCGAAGATGGGAATCAAGCCTTACGTAGTTCAGTTCAGGTTCACTTGGGTATTAACACTCCCCTTTTGCGCTCTAAGTTTTGCCAAGGCTGCCCTTTCTGGGTTTTCAACCTTGCGAGCTTAGTTTTTCGTATTTCCAATTTTTTGTGCTCTAACTTTTGCCTAGGTCGCCCTTTCAGATTTTCGGCCTAGCGAGCCACTCAGGGGTAGTATTTCTTCAACTTGTCCATATTGATTAGTTGGGAGAATTCAAGGCCATCTAGGTCCATAAGAACGACAGCTCCACCCGACCAAATAGACTTGATGATGTAAGGACCAGTCCAATTAGGTCTGAACTTGCCCCTAGGGTCATGGATGGGAGCTCGGTTGTCTTTGAGCACCAAATCCCTTTCTTTCAGATTCCTGGACTTAACTTTCTTGTTGAAAGCCCTGGCGATCCTACGTTGATAACCTTGGACGTGGTACAGTGCTTTCAGCCTCCTTTCGTCAAACAGCATAAGTTCCTCGAACCTACTCTGCTGCCAATCTACTTCTGCTATTTGGCAGTTAGCCATAACCCGCAGCGATGGAACCTCAACTTCAATCGGCAGAACAACCTCTATCCCATAAACCAGAGAATACAGAGTTACCCCAGTAGAAGTCCAAATTGATGTTCTCTAGCCCCAAAGAGCAAATGGCAACTTATCTGGCCAATCCTTGTAGGTTTCCACCATCTTCTGTAGAATGTGCTTGATGTTCTTATTGGTGGCCTTAACAGCTCCGTTGGTTTGCAGCCGATATATGGATGACTTATGAAAAGCCACGTTGTGTTTCTCTAACAAGTCGATCACTTCCTTCTTGAAGTGGGAACCATTGTCCGAAATGATCTCATTTGGGACCCCATAACGGCAGATGATATTATTCTTGATGAACTTGGCTACGTGTGACGCTTTTAGCACTGCGTAGGATTGGGCCTTGACCCACTTTGTAAAGTAGCCTATCGCCACCAAGATGTACTCATGCCCGTTTGACCCCTTCGGAGTAACAGCCCCAATAACATCAATTTCCCAGACTAAAAACAACCATGGTGAAGTCATGTTGTATAGCTTTGACGGCGGGATATTCATGCGATTTGCATGGATCTGACATTTGTGGCATTGCCGAACAAAACCAATAAAATCCTTCTCTATGGTTGACTAGTAGTAGCCCTGTTTGAGAATCTTCCGAGCTAGCATCACCCTGCTCATGTGCGATCCGTACTCTCTTCCGTGGATGGCCTCCATTAGGCGCTTTGACTCTTCAGCATCGACATACAGTTTATGCATTCCCAAATGGCCCCGTTTGTACAATTTACCCCCGTAAATGATAAACTGAGCAGCCATTTGTTGTATTGCCCTCTTATCTTTGACATTTACTCCTTGTGGATAAGCCTCCATTTCCAAGAAGTTCTAGATGTCATGATACCAAGGGTTCTGATCTTGTACCTCATCTATCGCAAAATCAACTCGTAGGCTGACACATACCTCTGTTCAATAATGATTGGACGCATCCAGACTCCCAAAGAGATGTCTATCATGGAAGATAGTTGATAAAGCAGCAATGAACTTGTTGCTCTCTCTTAATAGATGCGTGAAGGTCAGTTTCTCAAACCTGGGAATCAGAACGTCCAGGGTTTAATGATAAATTGCATTCTCTCTTCTTTAACCTTCCAGTCTCCTTTCGCTTGAGATACAACCAGGTTCGAGTCCCCAATGACGTCCAACCGTGTTGCCCCTAGTTCCAGAGCGGCTTTTAAGCCAGCGATACATGCCTCGTACTCTACTTCGTTGTTTGATACTTTGAACTGGAGTTTGAAAGCTAAAGGTATGTGGGAATTGTTGGGCGCCAGCGATACATGCCTCGTACTCTACTTCGTTGTTTGATACTTTGAACCGGAGTTTGAAAGCTAAAGGTATGTGGGAATTGTTGGGCGCTATCAGCAACACCCCTATCCCATACCTATACTGGTTAGATGCTCCGTCAAAATACATAGTCCAAATCTCTTCTTCGACCTGCAGAATGGCCTCATCCTGGAACAGATACTCTATTACTTCATCTCTCTCCACTGGGTGATTGGCTATGAACTCCACTACTGTTCTCCCTTTCACAGACTTGTGATTCATGTACTTCAAATCAAATTCAGAGAGAAGAAGCAACCAACAGGCTAGCCTACCCATAAGTGCTGGTTTCTTGAAGAGATATTTGATTGGATCTAATCTCGAAACAAGAATTACGGAGTGAGCTAACAGGTAGTGCCTCAACTTCCTGGTAGCCTATACCAAGGCCAAGCAAGACTTCTCCAGCGGAGTGTAACGGGTCTCATATTCCAGCATCTTCTTGCTCAGGTAATAGATGGCCTTCTCTACTTTATCCTCAGATTCCTGTGCAAGCATGCAGCCCATGGTCGTGTCGGTTACTGACAGATACAAAATCAATGGCTTACCCGGTTCTGGCGGTG